AGAGTACTCGTGTGCCATTGGCTGGGTGCTGGGTCTGCTCCTCTTCCCCGCCCACTCCCCCTTCAGCCACTGTGCCCTGTCAGAATTACTGGCAAACAGATTTCTCTCTTGATGAAGATGCTTTTCCTGTGTGGGACTAACTGTTCCCTCAGTGGCTGTTGGTAGTTGTCATGAAATGGCACTTACCTGTGTTTGTAAGATGGCTGTGGTTATTTGTTTAAAATGTTCTCCCATAAGGTTTGATTGAGCTGTAGTTCCAGAGAGGGGCCTGCAGGGGTATCACTCACTGGGTTCAATGGGGCTTCCTCATCTGCTGGCCTACAGTTCCCAGCTGCCCCAAGGCCAAAAAGTAGGGGAAAACAGGGACTGTCCGAAGGCAGTCTTCATCCCTGGGAGCAGCAGAAATTCAGCCACTCCACAGTCGGCTGGACTGGGGAATGAATGGAAGTTTTCTGTTCTCTTGGGCAAGAGAGAGAGGCTGAAGTACAGGCGAGCCCACAACCTCCAGAGGTAGAGAGTATTGTGTATAGTGAAAGAGGATTGCATTTAACCCCTGTTTATTTATGTCCTGTTGGTTCATAGTGTGTGCTTACTCCTACAGTGTGTGTGTGCTCCATAACTGTGTAAATAGTTAAATAAATTATTTAATTTGGGCTAATAATCTGTCTTGTGCTCTGACCACATAGTCTCCCCTGCTTTGCACAATACCAAAGGGAGGGGGTAGCCCAGGGAAGCAAGAAAAGGCTAGGCCCTTTGGGTTGCCAACTTTCCAGGAATCCCCCAAAGGTTGGGGATTCTATCTCCAAGTAGGGTGATTCAGCCAGAGGGGTCTCACTGTCCCTCTAAAAAGGCAGTGACGATTCTGTGAGTGGTGTCAGTGAACTTAAGGAGTGAGATACACCCACGGAACGAGGGTGGGAGACAAACAGCTGAGTTGTGAACTGGAGCCCGTCTCGCCATAGTAGGCAACCAAGTTTGGTTCAGACAAAGTAAACCCTTTGCAGGCCTTTGTGAAGAACATATTGGGGCCAGTCCTGACTAGGGTTGCCAGCTCCAGGTAGGGAGATTCCTGGATATTTTCTGGTAGAGTCTATGGAAGCTAGGGTTTGGGGAGGGGAGAGGCCTCAGCTGAACAGAATGCCATACAGGCCACCTTTCAAAGCAGTTATTTTCTCAGGGGGGGGGGAGATCTGTTGTCTGGAGTTCAGTTGTGATACCTCGTGATCTTCAGGCTCCAACCTGGAGGTTGGCTGCCCTAGGCCCAGCAGTCAGTGCTTCAGAGCAGGGTCTGCTAGATCCAGGTTCTTTCTGTAGAAGCTGAGTGGGTGATTTTGGACCAGTCACAGACTTTCAGCCTAACCTACCATACAGGGTTCTTGTGCAAGTCAAAAGGGGGAGAGGAGAATGATGTAAGCTGCTTTGGTCCCCATTGCAGAGAAAGACTACTGTTCCTCCTGGGAAACCATAGTTCCCAATCTCCAGGTGAAGGCCAGAGATCACTCATAATTACAACTGCTCTCCAGATGGCAGAGATCAGTTCCCCTGGAGAAAATGGTGTACTCTGTGGCAGTCAGGGCTTCAGAGCATGGAAAATGGAGAACTCTGTGGCAGTTAGGGCTTCAGAGCAGGAAAGAGGCTGCAGGTGTGTTTGTGGGGGAAATGGAAAGCTGAAGAGAGAGGGGCAAATAAAGGTAGGTTGATGCTTGGCTGGGAAGGAAATAGGATTGCCAACTCCAGGTGGGAAATTCCTGGAGATTTGAGGGATGGAACCTGCAGACAAGTTCAATGTCATAGACTCCACCCTCCCAACCAGCCATTCCCTTCTGGGGAACCACTGTTGCCAATCTCAGGAGAGGGGTGGAAATCACTCAGAATTACAACTGATCTCCAGAAGGGAGGGGGGAGGAGATGCAAAGCTGAAATCAGAGGGGCAGATAATGGCAGGTTGATGCTTGGCTGGGAAGGAAATAGGATTGCCAACTCCAGGTGGGAAATTCCTGGAGATTTGAGGGATGGAACCTGCAGACAAGTTCAATGTCATAGACTCCACCCTCCAAACCAGCCATTTCTTCCTGGGTAACAATTGTTGCCAATCGCCAGGTGAGAACAAATTACACAGATGGAAACCAGTCACTAGTATGCGTATGAGAGACCAAAGGAAACTGGAAGAAATGCGCTAAATTAATGATAAAATGTACTCTATATGAAAAAATTGAAAGTGACAATAAAGCAAATCTTTATATTGACAATAACAATAAAGCAAATCTTCATAGATAAATATTTTTCATATACCGTAGTTTCATATAGTTTTTTTTTTTCAAATAGAGTACACTTTATAATTTCTTTAGCACATTTCTTCCAATCTCCAGGTGAGGACTGGAGATCACTGAAAATTACAACTGCTCTTCAGGTAGCAGAGATCAATTCCTCTGGAGAAAATGGTGGACTCTGTGTCATTATACCCTGCTGAGGTCGCCACAGCACATTGACGCTGAGTGCCCAAGGCCCTGGCACTCTCCAGAGCCTCTTTCTAGAACTCGTTGTATTTATTTCCACAACGGACCTTATTCCTGGTCTATCATAATCATTTTTATTGAGCAAACTCTGGAGGACGGCAGAAGACAGGAGGGCCTGGCGTGATGTAGTCCATGGGGTCACGAAGAGTCGGATTCGACTGTACGACTGAACAACAACAACATAATCATTTTTTGTCTGCTACCTGGTAGATCTGGCAGCAACGCATGGGGTTCAACCAAAATGGGGCAATATGAGCTATCTTAAGCATCTGGCCCACAGCAGAAAATGCCTGTTTATGATTTCCCCAGATAGGCTGATGCTCACTCAGCAACTAAATTACATTTGCTCAGCACAAGCTGCTTGCCATTAAAAAAAGACTAGATAAAATGCTTTGCTTAGCTATGTTGGTTTAATGCATGGCTTAGCAATCTTGAGAACAAAGACCAATTTGCCAATATAGAAGTAAGGCAAAATATTTAACTAGTACAGTAAGTAAATGTTAAATCAGCAACTCAGTGGCAGAAAGATGACTTAATTGGCAAAGCACTCTACAGACTGTCTGAATAAAGTACATGCAGATCTGAGCTTGCTAGTGCCACTTCTGGAAGAAGACATAGTGGCATAAAAGACCCTGAATTTATTCCTCTGGGAGGAATCTGGCCTGAAGTAAGCACTTCAAAAGGTGGTACTTTCTTGGTGCTAGACTGTAACTGGCCATCCAAGTGGGCATGTCAAAAGACTCCAAGGCACTGGGGCATTGGTAATTGTATACCTTAGTTTTGGGGTACCTAGGCTGATTGTCTTGGTATATGGAATAAACTTTAAAATGGAAAATTAATTTAGTCGAATTTAATCCCACTAGTCCTCCAAGGAGCTAAGGGCAGCGTACTTATCTGGTTCTCCCTTCCCCCCCCACGTTATCCTCACAACAGACCTGTGAGGTAGGTTATGCCCATTGCATAACTGGCCCAAGGTTACACAGTGAGAATCACATTCAGAATGGGGATCTGAACCCATCTTCCAGATCCTACATTGACACTGAAGTCTAACCACTTTTAGCACACTGACTAAAATCATGCTGATGGGGCATTGTTGAATGGCCTTTTTTGAATGGCTTTTTTTTTTTTTTACACATTATGGAGTACACAGGTTGAGTCTGCCCCCCACATCAGACCTGATTTGGGGGTTCTGCTCAGTTCCCATGTGCATACTGCCTGATTCAGATTGTCACTGTGGCTTGCGTCACAGGCGCTTCAGTCTGCCCCATCCCGTGACCTGAAATGGCCATTGGGGGCAGAAGCCAGTCCATCTAGGAAACACTCCTGGCCTGCATGGTTGTGACTGCATATGGGTCCCAAACCCCCATAATTAATGTTAAGAGCCTGTGCAGTTAAAAGAAAGTGTTGACTTTAATCTGCTAGAAATAAAAATGAAATACTGAGACTCCTGAGTTGAATTTATGGCCATTAACACACATCAGCTTTTAACCATTTGCCATGATTTCCTATCCCCCCTGCCTCTGGGTTGCAGTATGTTCACTCTTTGCATTCCCTGCCATCTAGAGTGGCTACCTATCTCCTCCTCCCATCTTCTCTCTTTCAAGATGTTGTATTGGCACTTATCAGAAGAAAAACTCTAGTAGACTTCAATTTCTTAAGAAAGCCATGGGGATGAGGACTACTGAGAAGTACTCCATAAGCTGCAGTGGTATGAAGTTCCATTATAAGGAACCTGCCTTTGGCACTAATTTAAGCCTACATGCAGATCCGTGGGTCCAATATACTTTTATATTGGCACATAGACAATGAGTGGGGAAAGTTTCGGCAGCTGAAGTTCTATTAACGACCTTTCAGCACAGCCAGGAGCAAATCCTGGCAACCCACTCTGGGAATAGCCCCCTGTGAAGAAACGAGCATTTACTTCGGGTTAAAGATGCACGAGGTTGAAATCCTTGGGTCGCCTCTTTTGCACCACACTCCATTCTCCCTGCGAAAGTGGAACCCCTGCCAGCCCTACCTCTATGCTAATCAGGCGAATGCCATTCGTTGAGGAGCCGAGGTTCCCGTCGACGTCACCGTCGAAGCCTCCAGACGGGCCACCCTGATTGGGTGAGCTGCCAGCGGTAGCTCCAAACAGCATTAGCGTGGCTGGGGCTGGATGGAACGAATCGGAGCAGGCGGCCCTTTGTTGCTGAGCCCGGCGGGCTGAGGGAGCCGCGCGTGCATCGAGAGGCGCTGCCCGGTGAGCTGCGGGGCGCGTCCCCGCGCCCTGCCTCCTGTTGCGAGAGAGGTGGCCAAGGCGGCGAGAAGTTTTGCCCGCCGGAGCGGCGGATTTGCGCACCCACCTTGCGGGAAATGCGAGCGCCCAGTAGACTCTGCCTTCCCTTGCCTGGGCTGTGTCCGGACGAGACGCCGCGCTGAGACCGCTGTCGCCGCCGCCTTGTCTGCTCGGTTGCTGCTTTTCCTCCTCCTTTCCCGGGCAGGATGGTGGACGTGGAGAGCGAAGTCCCCCCGCTTCCTCCCAGGTACCGGTTCCGAGATCTGTTGCTGGGAGATCAGGGATGGCAGAACGACGACAGGTAAGCTCGGCAGGGGAAAGGAGGATGCGCCTCTTTGGTACTTCAGGTGGGGGCTGTTCCTCGAAAAAGGGAAGATGCGCTGCTTGGTTGCCGCCTTTGCTTATGGTAGTTTAATGGGGGGGGGGGGGCACGCGTAACTGGCAGATCGTCAGGAAATGCAAAGCGGGCGTCTATACGAGTCGTTCTCACAGCTGCACCGTATAGTTAGCGAGAGGTCTAAGTGGAGACACGGTGTGCAAAAAGTGCAAACAGCCCTTCTGTGCGCAGGCGTGCGTTCGGGCACCTGTGTGTACCCATTCTCAGGCATTTCTTGTGCAGATGCAGAAACGTTGGTGTGTTCGGATTAATTAGATTAATTAGATTTATCGCCTGCTGTGCGGTTGCGGAAAGCTGTTTGCAGCTATTTACAATGGAATTTCAACTTCATCTTATTCCCCTAAAGGTTCTCACTGAAACCCCAAAACATATACTGTTTTTTTGTTTACATGCGCAAGTTGCTTTTTTAGTGCACAAGTAGTATGCATTTGCCATGTGCACACATGCATGTTGCTTTGCATAAGCATGCAAAGCCTTTGCCTACAGTGTCTTGCACAGAGCTGTGGTTGTTTTAGTGCACTCTATGACACACTGCTCATTCTTCTTATACACTTACCTCTTTCCTTTCCATCTCACTCTTGATTTCCATGCATTTGATTAGGACTCCCTGCCCATACACTTCCCCATCATTTTCATGTGTCCTGCCTCTTCTCCGTTTGTGTGCGTCTAAAGGCAGGCTGATCCCCATCAAGGATAAAAGAGTCTTCTGAGTGAGTTTAAGCATCAGCTTGTTTTATATCCCACTTAGCCTAGCTTTATGATTTGGAGGGGGAAAGGGTTCAACTGCTACCTGAAGGCCAGTGCCCTTACACAATGCTTTATCATGAGCCAAATGTCTGATATTCAGTGCTCATTCAAAGCACTGAATTGTTTATTCAGATCATGATCCACTTTTAAACAACTGGATGCTAGGTAAGTTGAATGGGAAATTGTTTCTGACTGGTCTGATGGGGAATCCAGACAATTCATGGGCACTTTGTTTTGATCAGGTTATTTGGAAATTCTAAAAAAAATAATAATTAAAGAACCTACTTTTCTAGTATCTGTTTTCTCTTTAGATTTTTTGGGTAAAGGTCTGGTTGTTGTTCACAAAATCTTCATATTGGTCTTTTAATACTAGATCCTTCTCACATGCTTTCCTGGCAGCTGGCTACTGGATCTGACTGATTTCCCCCCCTTTTTTGATCCTTCTCTTGTATTAAAAAGATGCACAGTGAATGCATTCTTACTGTGGAATCTGCTTCGGTTGATAGAAGGCTGAAAGGCTGTGTAGGGGTAAATACATAATTCAGTGATTCCCAGTTAGGTGTGTTCCTTGAAATCCATACAGAGTTCTCTGAAACTCCATGGCAGATGTCACAAGCTAGCAAGATGGATAGGTCTGCTGTCCTAATAAAACTCTGTTCATAAGAAGTATGTTTATGAAATATCAGAAGTCTTCTTTTATGCAATTACATTGTGAAACAGGGGTGTAGCTTTCCAGTCTAGGAATACTGCTAAGTTAAAAGACCAGGAATTGATCATGTTCCAGAACAAAAATGGATAGGAGGTGGTCAACCAACACTTGTCATCTTGGGGTGCTACTATGATTGCTGGAAAACATGAGTGAGGGGGTATTGGCTCCATACCTCTGAGCCTTTGCATGGCTTGACAAGCATCTGATGTGGCTAGGGTGTTGGTGTCCATGGTCTCTCTTCTGATAATTCTTGAAGATCTAACTAAGCATTGCAAGAGGCACATCGATACCCCTGTCCTGTTTCTCCTGCCCCCTTTCCTTATACTGTTTAGTCAAACTCCGTGTGTGATGTGAGATTCCCATGCTGAGCTTTGCACTGATCCTGTCTTACATAATTGGCTGTTGGGGCTGGGGTAAGTGCTTTGTGAGATGACATAATATCACCTTAAGTTTAGACCTTAAGTTCCTATTACCTTAAGGGAGCTGGAATGTCAAAGAGATAAAGGCATATTGCTTGCTTTATGCCAAAAGCCCTTTCTGCAGGAGGCCAGGGTAGTTCTCTTACCCTGAGTATTTTATGGTCAGCAAGCTGCTTTTCTTGTAAAAAGTGCACGAATGTGTCTGGCTGAATCATGAAAACTGTGAGTGGTGGAAAACAAAAATGGGGGGGGGGGTAATAATTCTATAAGTAGCTTTTGCTGATACTCCTTTAGCTGTGTTGGTCTAATGGTAGCAGTCTTGTGCAGTTTGCCAGATCTATTTATTTGATTGTGTGATCAAATAATTTCCCAGTAGCTAACATAATTCCTTTAAAGTGCCTGATGATCGCAGATGTTGGTATACTATTGAAGCAAACCACGCAAAGTATAATTTTCTTGATTTGCCTAGCCAGCATTTGAAATGACATTTACAATCAGAGATTTGGACTGTTACATTGAAATGGGGGACCTTTTATGCACTCTGGTTATGTTTACATAGCAGACATGCGCTAGTGAAATTGCAGATTCAGTAATGAAGATGTAATGTGATTTTCTTCTAGCAATTTAATATGTTTGTGAATAAACAAGGGAAATGAGCTCTCTGACCTTAACAAATGAATGTGTGGCAAAGTCATGTGTGCAACCACTCACTCAACATTGATAAATTCACACAACTCCAGACATTGATCGCTGTACAGACCTGAGAGATGATTTTTCTGTTGTTTCTACATGGTATTATAAATGTTTTTAGAAATGCATCTCAAGAATGATAACATGAAGACTGAAACATAGAAAATGCAGTATCTGCAAGCCAATGCACTGTAGTTGCTAGAGTGACAGGTTAGGATCTGGGAAGGGTGGATCCCCACTCTGCCATGAAACTCACTGGGGGGCATTGGGGTAGTCAATGTGACCTTCTTCATAGTGTTATCATGAGCGTAAATGGAGTATGTTGTTGCCCTGAACTGCTTGGAGGACATATGTGTATAGATTCTGCCCCCCAGGCCAGTCCAGGGATGAGGGGAAGAACTCTACACTGGCTCAATACATTACACAATAACTCAGAGAGGTAGGTTCTCTGAATCTAAAAACAATAGCCATCAGGGATCTCTAGACTTAATCCGTCACCAGCCTGAGATTAGAGATCCCAGAATCTCAGTTGGCACCTGGGACTTAATACATCAGCAACTCAATCTAGAGCTGTGCAGTTAATCTTACCAAGGTAGCGCCATTTGGTGAGCAGGAGACACAAGGGAAAAGGCTTGAAGTCCAGTAACCACAATGCAGACAAATTAGAAAACCAGAATAAGTTTATTCAGTAGAGAATTTAGCACAGACTCGAAGGATTTCAAAATAACAAAGGCTTATGGCTCTTGGCCCTAACTAAACATTAGAGATATACATAATTACCAACTTTAGGAATCCATAGTCCAAGATTGTCCATTGTGGTAATCCAATAGCCCCAAAGGGTTTTGGAGCAAGAAGTCCATTATTGCCAACCATGTGCTCAACTCCAAAGCAGTTCTTTGTCTCTCCCAGAGACCACATGGCAGCATAGCATCTCAGGTGAACAGACACAGAGCAACAGAGAGCATAGCAGGAGAAAGAGAGAGTTCTCTCCATAGGGTTTGACCAGATATAGGGCAATCCCAGTCCCCAAACTAGCCCTGGCCATGGGCCAATTGGAGTAGACATGGTTGGGTTGCCATGGGGACAACATCTGAATGGTCAGAGCTCTGAAGGGCACACCCGCAGTCATGTGTCCCCCCAAACTCCAACCCACCCCTCCATGTTGTACGTGACATGGGCCCTGTAGCCTTAAAGCAGGCGCCTTGAAGTCTAGCTCTTCCACTTAGAGGTGTGAAGAATGTGTGGTTATATGGCATGGCAATTGAGCTTCTCTGACCAAATGTTCAAGCCATTTGGCTTCAACAGGAAACACAACAGCAGGGTATCAGTAAGAGACATTCCAGGGGAAGACATGAAACCTTTAGAAATCAATATTTCTATACAATATGGGATAAAAATGCATTTGCTTGTGTTTCTTGTGTCAGGGACTAGAGTCTCTTGCACCAGTCTTAGAAGAACAAATCCTAGCAGACAAATGTCACTTCCCTTTGGCATTTCCTGCATGACCATCTGTCACTAGATTACTTGTTGCTAAATGCACATTAAAAACATGTCTCTGAAAGTGAGGCAAGTTCATACAGAGCTTCTACCTGTGGCGACTTTTTGTACATAAAAATCAGTTGATGTTCCAGTAACCAAATAATCAGCGTGTATGAGTGAACCAGTACTTGGCTATGGCTACACTGTTTAGCTCCAATTTGAAGACAACATGCTGATGAAATCTGTGTCCTAGTGTTGCCCCTTGACCACTCTGCCAGTTTTTTTTGTTAAGGGGAGGATCATGTATACATCAGCCTGCTTGACACTGAGTCAGAGCATTGGTCTTTCATGGTCAGTATCACCCACTCTGAGCAGCTGCAACTTTTCAGGCTTGTGGATTGATGTCTTTTTGCATCATCTGCTTCCTGATCCTTTTAACTGGAGATGCTAGAAATTCATTCTTCAAACCTGTTAAGTCAATGGCAGAGATACCATATTGAGCATCCAAGGGAATGTAATATGTTCCTGCACAGCATAAGCAGATGATACTGAATAAGCAAAGAGTACTCAAGTGGAAATGCCAGGGATTGAACCTGGGACCTGTTGCATGCAAAGCAGGTGCTTTACCCATGAGCCATGCCCTTCCTTCTCTGCTGTTGCTATTGTCTTTGACAGGGCTGGTCGCCCTTTGAACAGCTGGGGGGAGGTTAGGTCCTGGACTAAGTTTGGCACCCACATGTCACTCTTTTTCATTTTTTGGGTGATCAGTAAGTTCAGAGGTGTTAGTACTGAGAGATACTGGGAAGGAACAGGAATATTACACGTGGACCTCCAGCTGCTGGATAAGGTTTCCTTTTCCT